TTCCTTCTCTTAGAGGCTCTTCCATTTCTCTGGTTCCCTCTGTTGGTGCCTCCTCCCTCACTAGACCTTTACTTCTGAAGATATTCAGGGCTCTGCCCGGAGCCCGTTCCTCTGTAACCTGTCCCATGGCATCTGTTAACACTCTTAGGCTAAGGGTTCCAAATGCATCGCTCTATTTCAGACGCCTCTTCTGCACTCCAGATCCACACATTCACACATGCCTATGTGACTCCTCTACTTGGGAACCTCCCAGACATCTCAGACTCACAGTGTTCACATGGCTTATGTTCATCCACACACACCCGCCCCCCCCCCCCCACTCTTTCTCTATTTCTTGTCTTAGTAAATGGTACCACCACCTATTCCGCTGGTCAAGCCAGAAACCTGGGTGTCATCTTGGATTCTCTTCATTTGCTCTTCCCACAGCCAAACATTCTCCATTGTTGGTGCTAAACTATTTCTTCATTCTGCCTTCCTCTCTCTGTCTTACGCTGCCTAGCCCTCAGCAGCCCTGTTCTGGACTACATACAGCATTAATCTACTAACTGATAACCTCTCAGTAGCTTTCATCTCCTCCCAATCCTTTCTCCCTTCAGCAGCCAAAGTGACCTTTGAAAATGAAATTCTGACCCAGTAATTTTCTGCTTTAAACTCTTTAGTGGCTCCCCATTAGGAGGCTACTTTCAAATAACATATGTGTTTTTTCTGTAATGAGAAGAAATTAGAACAGTAATTTTTTAAGGAATCAGATTAAAAAGAGACTGCAAGCATCATGACAGCAGAGGCTGTGTCTATTTAGTCTGCTGTAGAACCCCAGTGCCTAGCCAAGGTCTCTGCACAGCTGATCCTAAGAAATACTGAATGAATGAATGAATGAATGAATGGGAGAGACACAGCAGAACCTAGTGTGGCCATAGGGTTGAGGAAAGTGTACTTTTGCTTGTTGTGCCTTGTTTTGCAAAATGAAATATGCATTCAAATTGTATATTACATATTCATACACACAAATGTTAATGGAAAAGAGTGAAAAAAAAATACATAGGAGGAATCATTGATAAAGAAGGCATAGGTAGAGGGGTTAACCCTAATTACAAAAGCAAAAATGAGCATAAACAAACATTTATATATGCATTACACACACACACACACACACACACACACACACACACACTTTTTTTTTTTTGAGGGAAGGAGAGAAAAGAAGTCAGGGCAGTACCCCTGAAGGTTTCCACTTCCTCTCTGGTTTCAGAAGCAAGGTGGCGTAAGAACGAGGAGAAAGGACAGAGTGGAGATGTGAGGAAATCAGAGAGAGTCTGAAATCGTTTCTGTGACTGAGAGCATTAGCGAGGTATGTCGGGTTCAGTTTCTGTTCTGCTAATTTTTTTCCTGAGCTCTGCAAATGCTCAGGACTCAGATTTTCTTTTTGGCCTCCTGTCCTTAAGACGATAGTTCCCAGTGAGTATGAGAATCAAGTGTATCATAAGCTGGGCAACTCTGACAAAGTGATTCCCACTCCCCACCCCATGGAGACTGTTTCAGCAATCGGGGGCGGGGTGACTAACATACAACTCAGTGTGTGAAGCTCTGCCCTGAGGAACTTCAGCTGGGTGGCTGCACAAGGCCACTGGCTTCGTAGACTACATTCTCCTCAGTCATTATACTAACCACGACTGAGCACACTGGGCTAGTGATCAAACCCACCAGCCAAAACCGCAGTGACATGCAACGTACACCCTGTTTCTCCATGCGGCTGGGACACAGTGACGGGCCGGGGAGAGAACTGTATCTACTCACACATGGCTTGAATGGGAGGGACATTTCCTGATGGTGCGCTACGAGGACGGCCACCCCTGCCAGAGGACGTAAGGAGGAAAAAGATAGACTTCATTGCCTGTTATCTCTCCTGTCTCTCTGGTTCAAAACTAACATTTTATCTAGCTATTGAGGATACAAATAAATCCAGGTAGGCTTTGGAACTGAACTATTAACAGCTGAAAATAGCCCAGAAGAAAAAAGTTCAGAATTTTTAACCTTTTAATTGTTTCATGTTCATGGAATATTTGGGACTTGCCAGATGTCCGAGTTACAGAGACTGACTGACATATACAAGGAGAACCTTATGTTCTGCTTCAGCTGGTGCTACAACTCTCCTTCCTAATCTGGAGTTCAATTACATGTGCATATCTTAATTTCTTGGAAATAAAATCAATCTGGGAATAAAGAGCCTTTAAAATCATCGTTTTCAATTCCTTGGTCTTGTAGATGGGGAAACAATGACAAGAGAATGCCCATATTGATTTGTAGCAAATCTGGAAAGAGAACCCAAGTGTCCTAACTCCCAGCCCAGGGAACTTTCCACCATGCCCCACCCCACTGTAGGTAAGACAAGAACTGAAGTAGGGGGAACAGAGATTCTCAGCTTACACGGAAATCCGTTTCACACACGTGATCAAATGCCTCGTAAACAATACATAAAAACTCATGTCTAGAGAAACTTTTACTAGATGAAGTACTGAACACATGCATTTGGTTCCGGTCCCTCCTCAAATACTACTAGAACATCAACTGACAAAGACAAAGAACAGAGAATGCAATTTTGGATGATGGAGAGCAGACAGACAAGTGGCAACTGGTTTAGCAGACTGGGGAAAGCTTGGTCTAAAACTAGGACCACCTAGAAGCAATTTCATTTAAATTATAAAACCCCCAAAAGGCTGAGGGACTGCCAGCACCAGGTTCCTCCGGAAGGGGGGTGAACATGGGATGGAGAATTGGCTGAATGAAGTCTGTTTAAGTAGTCAGACCCCAGAATCTCTCCCTCACTCCTTATGGACAAGTGATAACCTCCAAAGCTTCAGGCCCCACCTAGAAGACTGGAGATATATTCTCTGAAAAGAGTAAAGAAAGGATCTTTGGACTGGAGAATTCCATACTTCAGAGAGATTACCCAAAGACTAGTGCTGAGTGTTGAGACCCCGGCCTTCTGCTTAGCTTTCTGACTAGTCAAATATTTTTCTGGGGAATCTGATCAGCTATAAGAAACAAACAAACAAACAAACAAAAACAAAAACAAAAAATAAACCACCTAAAAATACTAACATCAGGATTTCCTAAACAAAACAGCCAGATACCCTAGAGTGAAGCCCATAACTGCCAAGACCTATCCACTATTCTAAGAACTTCCAGGCATCTTTTTAGATAGCTACTCTAAAACAGGCTGGAGGAGCAAGACTTGACAATATTAAGGAAACCATCTAACAGAGAAACAGCAAATCAACTTAGAGAAGAGAAAACAATCACAGAAAGAAGAAATTTAAAGAAACAAAAATAAAAATAGCATCTTCAGAGATCTGAGAAAAGCATATCTATGAATCCATGAAATAAAGACAAGATGTTGCGAGAGAGAGATTGAGATTCAGAGAATAAAAAAGAGCTTTTAGAATAAAATGATGGCAGATTAAAAATTCAATATAAGATACAATTTAGGAAATGTCTAAGAAAGTTGAACAAAAAGACAGAGATATGAAACAGGAAAGATGGAGAGTTTAGGGGCCAATTCAGGATATCTAATATCAAAATAATACAGTGTCCATTATCAAAGAAAATGGAAGGGCAGTAACTGTTAAGGATATAGTTCTCAGAACTGAATGTTATTCCCGCCCCCCCAGAACTGCAGGACACTGTTTCTGTTTAAAGGAAGGACAGAGGTGGGGCTGGGGAGGATGGAGAACAGGGTTTCCACAGTGAAAAGGCCAAGGAAGTTGCCAGCATGTTCAATGCAAACAGACCTACACCAAGGTATGTCATGGAATTTCCAGAGAAAAATAGTTTCATACAATGGGTTTCAAGTCAGAATGACAGAAAGTTTGCCAGAGCAACTCTGGGAGGCAGAGACTTTGAAGTTGTGAGAACAGATGACTTCTACCTTAGAATTATAAACGTTATCAAAGTCATCAATTCAAAACCAGAGTGAACAATACAGGAGAGGAAAACAGAGTCCTCAGGAGAGGGGAGAAGGGGAAGCCCTAGCTTTTGAGGGGGGCCCGAGAGAGCAACCTAGACAGAGAGAAGACCAGAAGGCTCTGGGAGAAATTTCCCAAAGTAAGATGAACTGGATAGAGTCTCCATATAGTTGACTATACTGACAGGAGATTTACAAGTGGGGTTGAGCCTGAGGTTGAATATTTATAAGCACATCAAACATTAAGAGAAAAAGAATTAACATCTGCTGAGTAGTCTTAACAGGGACTGTAATCAACTATGTTAGGAGCTAGTCTGTGGAAAGTTCTACACAGTGATAATAAAGTAAATACTGTATACTGCTCTCACCAAAGTTACAACACAATTACAATGGGGGAAGGAGGGTTGGGAAAGTTGGCGTGAGAAGCGGAGAGGGGCAGGGGTAGATGAAAGCAAGCTAAACACTCGCTTTTTCATCAACAGATAATTCCTAAAACTACAAAGTAGGTAGGTAAGTATGTGGATTAAAAATACAGAAGGAATTACTAATAGCATCCGTTGAAGTAGAACACACTTGCCTCTGGTGAACAGAAAATGGAAGGGGAGATGCTGCTGTTTTTTTTTATAGCAAATTTCATAGCATTATTTAATTTTCTTGTTATGTAAACCTTACTAACTAAACTTTGAAAACATAAAAACTTAACCTTTTCCCTATTTAAAGAAATGGAGGCATGGACTCATGTCAACCATGTCACACATGACACAGAAGCGCAAGCATCAGTGTTCTGGCCAGCAGTGCGCTGGATGCCGGGGACCCACAGTCACAGGGAAAGGCCCTTTCCAAGGAACTTATATTCTACAGTAAAAACTAAACGTAAGTGCCTTTGAAATAACTGACGCTGCTTAGTGGCTAACAAGGACATAGATAGCTGCCATGACAGAGCATTCGGGTGGGAAGGACTCTGGGCACTGTGGTCAGAGGAGTCTCCCTGAAGGGTGACATTTAAGTTGAGACCTGAAGGATGAGAAGGGGTTGGTCATGCAGGGCTAAAGAAGGAACATTCAAGGAAGTGGGGAAAGCAAGCCAATGATTCTGCAGCAGAAAATATCTTGGTGTGCTCAAGGATATGCCCAAAAGAGGTCAGTGCCCCTGGCCGGGTAACTCAGTTGGTTAGAGTGTTGACCTGATACACCAAGATTGTGGGTTTGATCCTCATCGGAGCACATAAAAGAATCATCCAACGAATGTGTAGATAAGTGGAACAACAAAACAGATGATTCTCTCCCTCTCCCTCTCCCACTCCCTCTCCCTCTCCCTCTCCCTCTCCCTCTCCCTCTCCCTCTCCCTCTCCCTCTCCCTCTCCCTCTCCCTCTTCCTCTCACTTTCTCCCTCTGGCGCTATCTAAAATCAGTTTAAAAAGGGGGGGTGGCCAGTGTGATTGAAAGGTAGTGGAGAGAGGAGAGGCTGGGACAGAGAGAGGCTGCGGGGGAGGCACCGACAGGCGAGCAGCGTGCGGCCTCGCAGCCTGACCGAGCGCTGCTGTGCGACAGCAGAGGCAACAGACCAGCTATTAGACACTGCTGGGGTGCAGGCAACAACGGTGGCCTAACACATATGTATTTGAACATATACATTTAATCTTCACCCAAGGATATGTTCTCATTGATTTTAGAGGGAGAGGGGGAGGGAGAACAAGCAAAACATCCATGTGAGACAGAAACATTCATCGGTTGTCTCCCGGTGCACCCTGACCAGGAATCGAACCTGCAACCTTTTTGGTGTATGAGTTGATGCTCCAACCAACTGAGCTACACCAGCCAGAGCCAAAATGTATTTTGAAGGTAGAACTAAAAGTGCTGGGAAGGGTGGCCAATGAAGGAGAAGCTAAGGAAGTCACCCAGGTTTCTGACACTGGAAATTGGGAGGATGGTGGTACCACTGCCTGAGAAAGCAAAGATGGGAAAGGCTGCTTCGGGCAGATGGGATATAGAAGCAAACCAAGAGTTCGCCTTGGGGATTAAGGTGTACAAATCACCAGTTATAAAAACAGTCATGGGGATGTACAGTACGGCATCAGGTATATGGCCAGTGATATAATAATTATGTATGGTGTCAGACGGGTACTAGACGTATCAGGGTGATCACTTCATAAGTTATATAAATGTCTAATTACTATGTTGTACAGCTGCAACTGATATAATATTGTATGTCAACTGTAGTTGAAAATTTTTTTATATAATTTATTTTTTTACAGAGTTCTTCCTTGGGCATGAGACATCCAAAGAGATGTCAAGGAGGCAGTCAAACGCAGGGTCTGGAGCTCAGAAGAGGTCAGCATTGTACATGTACACTGGGGAGCCATCAGCTTCATTACTGGTATTTAAAGCCCTGGGAATAGATGAGTGTGTAGAGAGAAGAGGGCCTAAGCCATACCCCGAGAATTCACCACATTTTGAGGTCCAAAAAAGTACGAAATGCTGGAAAAGGATCAAGGAATGCCTAGTTGGGGAGGGGGAAGCCAAGTTAGGAAATTTCAAATGTAATTGCAAACTGTTCTTATAGCTACCCAGAAACCAGGAAGACAGGACAGGAATGCATCTATTGGAAGCAGCAGCACATAGATCTTGAGTGACCCTGAGAAATTTCACAAGGGTGTTGGGAAAAGACACCAAATTGTAACAGAGAAAAGAGTAATTGAGTAACAAATGGCTATAGTACATCCAGATAACATTTTAGAAATTCTGCCTTAAAAGTGGACAATGAAATTGGGTGAGAGACAGAGAGGCATATTATGGTCCAGGAGGGTGCGTGGTTCTTTAATTTTTAACGTTAAGGTACCAGAGCATTAATTCACTTACACCTTCAGTTGTTCAACAAATACTTATTGAGCACCAGAACAATGTCCTTATGGAGCTGACGATCTAACAGGGGACAGAAGCAATAAACAAACACATATACTAATTTCAAGTGGAGATGTATGCTTTGAGGTCAAATAAAGTACGTGAAGGGGCCAGAGAACCAGTGACATTTCAGAGAGGTGAGTCCGGGAAGCCCGCGCTGAAAGGGTGGCATCTGAAGGAGAATGGAGTGAAGTGCAGGAGCAAGAATCCAAGACAGGAAGGAGCTGGGAGGTGGAGGGGAGGAGGATGGCAGGTCAAGGGACAGTGAGCAGCCAGTGCGGCAGGAGCATCTCGAGAGACGGGCAGAGAGGGAAGAGATAGGGACAGAAAGGTAGCAGGGGCCTTACAGTGCATGGCTAAGCGTTTGGACTTCATACTGATTGTAGAGAAGCCACTGAGAGCAGTATAAAGTGTCAAGCAGAAGAATCGCTGTGGCCGTTGTGTGAACGCAGACCATGGGGCACACAAGCGCAGACAGGGAGATGGCCTAGGAATGCACTGCAGAAGTTGCAGAAAGACTTGGGGGTGGCCTGGCCCTGGATTTAGGCGTGGGGCGGGAGATTAGGAGTGCTTGGATTGAGGACAGAGGCTAATGGATCGAACATGAGGTGTGAGAGAAAGGCAGGAATCAAGGATGGCATCAGGTCTTTGGACCTGAGATGAGGCACCATGGAGGGAGTGTAGGTTTAGAAAACAAATCAAGAAGTTGGGTTTGGACATGTTACTTTTGAGATGTCTATGAGACAATCAAGTGGAGAGGTAAAACAGGCATCTGAAAAGCAAGGGAGAAATGTGGATGCCATCAACACACATGGTATTTAAGGCCTTGTAAAGGAATGAGATCGCCTCAGGAATGAGTTGAGATGGGGAAGTGGTCGGAGAACAAAGCCCTTAGCTCTCCACAAAGTTTAGAGGCCAGGAACAGAAGGAAGAAGGATCCAGCAGGGGAGACTGAGAAAAAAACAAGTGAGTTGTAAGCAGAATCAGGACGGAGTAGCATCACGGATGCCAAGTGAAGAAAGAATTTCAGGAAGGAGGGAATGGTCAACCGTGCCCCATGCTGCTCAGACAGACTTGAGCTCTATGAGGAAGTGCCAAGGGTCGCCGTGCTCATGAGATAACATTCGTTACTCATAAGTGTACTCAGATTACTCAGTAATCTGAAAAAGTAACCCTCGGTTCATCTAGAACACCAACACTCTGTTTCCATGAATGCTTTACTGCGTGGCAAACCCTCCTGCAGGACTCTCCCAGGGGTAATCCAGAAAAGCCCTGTGTCCGCGAAACAGAGACAGCCCCAAATGGGCAGGCTCAAGACATGGGAGCAGGCCATTGCTCACAGCACAGAATCAGAGGGGGTAGGCAGAACTGTTTCACAGGTTACTACATTTTTCTACCTCACAGTCTGTGAGAGGAAAATTAATACAACACTTCCATCTTATACAGACACCAAAGAATAGCTGCAGTTTCTGGAACTTCTGATTATTCATTGTTTAACCCCTTTTTCTTCTATCATTCTTTGTTCATGTTGCAGTATCTGACTTAAAAAAAATCATATTTACTGGGGTTTAACTTATATACAGTGAAAGTTTACCCATTTTAAGTGATGTGTTTTGACAAATATGTACCATCTGAGCTCCACCACAGTGAAGATAGAGTATTTCCATCAACCCCAAAAGTTCCCTCTTGCCTCTGTGTGGTCAAACTCCTCTCCCCACTTCCCATCCTTGACAATGATCTGATTTCTGCCTCTACAGTTTTGCCCTTTTAGAATCATATAAATGGAATCAAATAGAATGCAGCTTTTGTATCTGGCTTGTTTTAGTTAGTTAGCATAATGCTTCTGAGATTTATCCATGGTGTTGCCTGGGTCAGGAATTTGTACCTCTTTGCTGCTGAATAGTATTCGATAGCATGGATGTACCACCGTTTATCCGTTCGCCAGTTGATGAATATTGGAGTTGTTTCCAGGTTTTAGCTATTATGAAGAAAACCTTTATAAACTTTTGCTAAAAGATCTTAGATGAACACAGGTTTTCACTTCTCTTGGGTCAATACCTGTGAGTAGAATCACTGGGCCATGGGTGCATCTAGCCTTTGTCCACTAAGACTAGGTAAACATTTACTGAGCACTAACTTTGCCTCACACAATATTCTAAGCTCTTTGTATGCTTTGGGTTATTTGATTCTTAAAATGACAACCAAGTTATTATTCTTCCCATCGTACTAAAAAGGAACTAAGGCACAAAGAGATCAGGTCACTTACCCAAGATCACACAGCTAGTAGTGGGTAGCAGTCAGGATTCTCAAACCCAGAAACTGCAAACATTTTGCTTGGCTGCCTCTCCCAAGTCAAATGCATGGTGTCTGAGAGACAGAGCACAGAATTGTACCGGGTGCTCTACGTCTTTGGGCTATTGCTGACTATTCCTTTCCTCCCCTTTAAAGCATGACTGACTACACTGGGAATCTGAGGACCATTTTAGTAATGAAGTGTCATTTTTAAAGTCAGAACCTCATAGGATATTATAAGAAAATGCTTTTAACTGTTTAACAGAAGCTTATAAATGTTAACTCACTGGTGTCAAATGACAACTCTAAGGGAAGCAAGAGTCAGCCCTCTTCTATCAGCATGGTACGTAGTCACAGTTAACAATCTCTTCTGGAGATCTTGCTATTCTCATGACATAGAGGACATGTTTGGTAAAAAATATAAGGATTCTGGAATCAGACAAATCTGCATTCAAATTCTGGCTCTGCTCCCTACTGGACAGGTACATATAAACATCCTCGCATGTTAAAATGCAAGGTAGTCATGAAGATTCCATGGCACAACATGGTGAAACCACTGACCACTGTGCCTTCTGTAGTTAATAAGCCCTCCTCCCTCCTTCTCCTCTTCAATGCACTGCTGAGGCTCCGAAATTAGTATAATAGAGGTAGATTACTTAGCAAAAACTTTCGTTGATTTGTTAGTGTTTCCTCCAAATAGAAGCAAAGAAAAAATTGGAAGAAGGTGGTTCTTTAAAATTTCATATTTTATCTTTTCAAAAAGTCACTAAAACTTTTCACGTTATTCAAGAACATAATCAGCTTTGTTGTTGTCATATACCTGTAACAGGTTTTTTTTTTTCCTTTTTTTTTTATCCTCACCCGAGGACATTTTTTTTCCAATGTTTGTTCAGATAGAGTGGGAGGGAGAGAGAAGAGAGAGAAACATCAACATGAAAGGGATATATCGAGTGGCTGCCACCTGCACGACCAACCAGGGCCGGGTACAAACTGCAACCGAGGTACGCGCCCTTAGCGGGAACCAAACCCGGGTCTCTCTGGACCGCAGGCCAATGCTCTCACCATTGAGCCAAACCAGCCAGGGCATGTAACAAATTTTTAAAAGAAGTGTATACACCGTTCACCCCTTACTCTCAACACCCCATCCCCACACACCTCTGGCAATCAGCAATTTGTTCTTTGTATCTGTAAGCAAGGTTTGTTGTTGTTTAGATTCCAAATATAAGAGGCATCATACAATATTTGTCTTTCCCTGACTTATTTCACTTAACATAATGCCCTCGAGGTCCATCCATGTTGTTGCAAATGGCAAGATTTCATTCTTTTGTATTGCTGAGCATTATTCCATTATATATATTCTTTATCCATTCATCCATCAATGGACACTTAGGTGTTTTTCATACCTTTGCTATTGTAAATAATGCAGCAATGAACATGGGGATGCATATATTTTTTCTAGTTAGTGTTTTCACTTTCTTCAGTAAATATCCAGAAGTGGAATTGCTGGCTCATATGGAACTTCTATTTTTAATTTTCTGAGGCAACTCCACACTGTTTTCCATAGAGGCTGCACCAACTTACAATCCCACCAAGAGTGCACAAGGGTTCACTTTTCTCCACATTTGTGCCAATTCTTGTTATGTCTTGTCTTTTTGATAATAGCCATTCTATCAATTGTGAGGTGACAGCTCATTGTGGTTCCGATTTGCATTTTCCTGATGATTAGTGATGTTGAGCATCTTTTCATGTACCTGTTGGCCACCTGTATGTCTTCTATGGAAAAGTGTCTATTCAGATTTTTAATCGCATTTTTTTTCTTTTGCTTTTGAGTTTTATGAGTTCTTTACATATTTTGGAGATGAGTCTCTTATCAGATACATGATTCGTGAATATTTTCTCCCATTCAGTAGGTTGTCTTTTCATTTTGTTGGTGATTTCCTTTGCTGTGCAGATGCTGTGTAGTATGATGCAGTCCCACATGTTTATTTTTGCTTTTGCTTTTGGTGTCAGATTTTAAAAATCATCACCAAGAACTCTATCAAGGAGCTTACCAACTGTTTTCTTCTAGGAATTTTACAATTTCAGTTCTTATGTTCAAAGTTATTGTAATATAAACCTGTTGTGCACATACCTTCAGCTGAATGACTTAGCTTTCTCCTGAAAATGTAAAGACTATTTGTTGTAGGAAAATTTCCCCTGATAAGTAGTGGCTTTATTTATATGCTGCCACCTTGCCACTTGCCTGGGGCAAAGGCTCCCAGTTGTAAAGCATGAACCTGCAACGTCTCAGTAAGACTTCATAATGCTCTCACACACGCTGGGCACCATTCTCTCCTGTCTGCAACATCTTACTGTCTACCTACAACACTGCCCAGTTTGCAGTCTTGGCTCCAAGAACTTTTAACTCTGAATTCTCCAAACAAAATAACAGCAACTCCCTGTGAGCCCTGTGTGGAGCCTACTGGCACCCTGTAAAGTGAAGAGATACCGGCTACAATCTACTTCCTGAGACAAACTCTGTTACAGTTACAAGAGTAACCATAAATACTGCACATCCAAAAAATATTTTTCAAATAAAAATAAGACCCTGGCCAAGCAGAAGCTTAAGGAAACTGGGATGACAGATTAATAGTTTTTAAAAATCTAATGAAAAGACTTTCACATATTAATCCAGAGAAGCCAAAGGATTTAATTCATCTATGCTAATGAAATGTGGCCGCTCAGAGTTATATCTGCAATATGCTAAAGGAAATAATTTAGTTCTTAACATATATTTTCATGAAATAACATTATATTTTTTCAAAGTTTTATATACTTATTTAAATTTTGTTTTTTTTCAGAGAGAGAGAGAGTAGAAGGTAGGGAGGGAGGGAGACAGAGAGAGACATCGGCGTGATAGAGACACACTGGTTGCCTCCTGCATGATCCTGACAGGGGCCAGGGATCGAACCTGCAACCCAGGTATGTGCCCTTGACAGGAATCAAACCCACGACCCTTTGGTCTGTGGGCCGACGCTCTAAGCGCTGAGCCAAACCAGCCAGGGCTTCTTCAGACAATGTTTTATCCTAAGGTAATACCATATGCTCCCTTTTGTTATGATGTACACACCTGTATGTTACTCAAACAATCTTGGTTGTTGTAAGTACCGTGAGCAACTCATAAAGTCACTGAACACTTCTTTTCATTATTTTGTCATCCAAACCCCCTTGATAGACATCTTTTTTGCCAAAAAGCCCTCTCCTGGAAGGCAGGTAGGAAGTCCTCGTGGATGAGACCTTGACCCACAGTACATTGGGCTGATGACAGGTAAAAAGTAACTTCTGCTTTCAGAAGCTAGTTTAATGGAATGGATTTTTTAAATTTTATTTTAGCAATCCACATGGACTAATTGATGACTAAAAAGTTAGGGAACTTCATCGGGCCAGTGTGGCTCAGCGATTGAGTGTCGACCCTGCACCAAGAGGTCGTTGGTTTGATTCCCGGTCAGGGCACATGCCCAGGTTGTGGGCCTGATTCCCAGTGGGGGGCATGCAGGACGCGGCCAATCGATGTTCTCTCTCATCGATGTTTTTATCTCTGTCTCCCTCTCACTTCCTCTCTCTCTAAAATCAATAATGAAAAAAAATTTAAAAAAAAAGTTAGGGGACTTCAATACAACAAACAGTATCTGGGACTCAGTGACATGCCAGCAAGTTCCAAAAAGGACAAGATACAGGCTCTGTGCTCCTGGAGATGACCATGGAGGGGAAAGATAAATAGGGGTGCTGTTCCAACATAGAAAGGGCATCTTACCGCGACCGGATGGGAGGGTGTGAGTTCTCAGAAAAGGCCTGCTGGAGGCAGGAACATCACCTGAAGGATGAGGAGGCATTAATAAATACAAAGAGGCAAGACGGGCAGCAGAAAAACCAGCGAGGCATCCGACCGGAATCCCAGACCTGCCTCCACAACAACCTGAGCAAGCTGTCCGACCCTTTTTGCTCTTTTTCCCTACCTATGATATAGGATGGTTAGATTCTGTCAGTGACCTTATCTCTTGCTGTGCATAAGAATCATCTAGGGGCTTTCTGAAAACACTAGCTTCCTCCCCCAGAAATGTGGTTTCAATTGGTAGGGCATCGGTGTGATGACCTCTTAAGTCCCAGACAGCTTAGGTCCATGTTCTCAGCCCACAGTGCACAATAACATCCTCTGCGGAGCTTTCAAAATCCCCAGTGCAGGCTGCATTCCAGACAAGGAAACGAAATCTCTGGGTGGGACCCAGGCATCAGTGTTATTTAAAGTTCCCAGGCTGATCCAAGGTGCAGCCAAGGCTGAGGAGCACTCTCCTAGGCCCTCTTGGGAACTTCGGTTTCCTCTTATGGCCACTGATGGAAGATGAAAAAAGGAAGCAAAGGAGAGCTCTTAAGTTCTCTCTCTCATTCTTATCTTAAATTAAGAGTTTGTGTTTTTTAACCAACTGAAAAGACTTTAACATATTAATCCAGAGAAGTCAAAGGATTTAATTCAACTATGCTAAGGAAATGTGACTGCTTAGAGATGTATATGCAACATGGTAAAGGGAATGATTGAGTCCTTAACACAATGTTTGTGAACTCAATGCCAAGCGCCACTGATGCATTTTAGATAGGCTCGTACCACACAGGAGGGTGGACTTTGGACATGTGCATAATTCACGGTGGTGAATGACAGGTAGAAAATACCCATTCCAAATGCTTTCAGTTCCAAATTTAAAATTCAATGGAACACATCTATAAACTGACTCCATAGTGCGTTCTCTGCAATACTCAGTCAGAATTTGATTTGCATGGTTGACTGTAATATGAACATTATGTTCCCTACCCCCAAGGTTACTTAAATCCACTTATTAGGTAATGGTGAACTAAACAAAGAGTAATTAGAAACACTCCAGACTACCTTTTAAATCTGTTGCTAAATTATACTTTTCCTGCACCAAAGCCCATACACAGCACGTCTACAGGCATCATGAAACCAAAGCCTCAGAAATATTTCCATTAATAAGAGCACAAGCTACCCCTGGGCCTCCACGCTGGATCCCACAGGGAAGTAAGGGCTGCTTTAGAAAGGGCTGTTCATTCCTCTTATTCCTCACATCTGGGCAAATAAAGCACTGCCCACATGTGGTTAGATACCCCAAGAGAAAACGAATTCTCTGGGGGTCTGGAAATGAAGAAACACCTCTGACAGACTGCCTCATTTCCTAAAATGAGTCAGAAATGAAAGTAATTCTTCAACAAAGAACATCTGCTTCGTGGCACAGCTTGTAAAACAATGCCAGATGATACCTGTGGCTAGGCGGTCGGCCTGGGGAAGGAGGGGGCCCGGAGCACAGGGCTGGGACCTCGGCGCTGCACTTCATCTCAGACAGTGAGCACCGGGCATCCCGGTCTCAGCTGTAAATCTTGATTAGCAGTAAGACTGCTCACATTCCATTAGAAAGCTGGCCCTTCTCCAAAGGGTGGATGCAGCCAGAAAGGGTTCATGTGCTGCCATAGGCATGGAAACAGCAATTCTTAGAAGAAAAACTGTTTTACTTAACTGAAAATAGTCTATGCCTGTTAATGATGCGAAATGACCTTTCTTCCTGAGGAGGAAGGGCTGCTGCACAGAGATGAGCTAATGCCTCCAAAGGAAGCCAGGGAGGAGAGGTATGACGTACGGTCAGGCACGGGAAGGTAAGCAAGACCGAAACACCTTTCATAACACCTCTGGTAAGGACGATCAACAGAAAGGGGAAAACAAAGCTGTCTTCCCCCAAGTGGGTGGGGGGGCTAGTTCCTGTTGTTAGGTGGCTTGTCACTATTCTTTCCATCATGGATTTTTAAAAGGAATCCAACTCTATCACTTGCAATTGGGGGGGGGAGAAGGAAATGTGGAAACAACCTAAATGCCCATTAATAGATGACCAGTTAAATTAAAATCTGGTACATACACAATGGAATACTATGTTGCCTTTTAAAAGAAGGTCAACCCAGAGGTATCCATACTCTGCAGGACACTGACATGAAAAAAAAAAAAAAATGCACCTGCTGTCTGTACAGCAAACATCCATGTAAACATATTGAAAGAAGTTACCTTAGTGTAGGAAAAAGGGCCAGGAGAGTATTACTTTTCCTTTTATACACTTTAGTACAGTTTGAATGATCTTTTCATGTACTTATATCCTCCCCGTTTTAATAACAGGCATCATGGGGGTAGAAGGCTATTTTTGGCTTCTCCTTTATATTAGTTTCCCTCTATATAATTTAAAACAAAGAATACTATTTTAAATAGATGTTATAGGCTAAATTGTGTCTCCTCAAAATTCGTAAGTTGAGCCTGGCCAGTGTGGCTCAGTGGATTGAGTGTCGTCCCATGTACTGAGAGGTCCCAGTTCAATTCCCAGTCAGGGCACATGCCCAGGTTGTGAGTTCGATCCCTGGTGGGGGGTGTGCAGGAGGCAGCTGATCGATGTTTCTGTCTCTCTCTAAAAAACTCAATAAACACATATTTTAAAAATTCATAAGTTGAAGCCCTATTGCCAGGACCTCAGGATATGACAATATTTGGAGATGGGCCTTTAAAGAGGTAATGAACTAAGATGAAGCTGTTAGCGTGGGCCCTAATGCAATCTGACCAGTGTCCTTATAAGAACATGACATCTGGGCACACGCAAAGATGCAAGGAATGGGCACACACAAGAAAGACCATGTGAGGACACAATAAGAAGGTGGCACTGGCAAGCCAAGGAGAGAGGCGGCGGAAGAAACCAAAGTGCCAACACCGGGACCTCGGACGTAAAGCCCCAAGAACCGTGAGAGAATATATTTCCGCTGTTTAAGCCGCTCAGTCTGTGAGTGTTTTGTGACAGCAACCCTAGCAAACTAACACAACATATAAAAACTATATGGATAAAATTCACCCGACAACGGGGAGAGAGGCACCCATAAATGTCTTCGACGGGTCAGAAACCCACTGTGTCTGCTCCCGTACAGATGGTCTCATTAACAAGTGAGGTCAAACTGGAGCTTGTGCTGTCTCTGCCTACCGCAGGGTCACCTGGTCCGGGCCTGGGCCTGGACTAAAACAGGTTTCCTACTTCCCGATTCAGGACCCTTTCTGCTCACCTATGTATCTTTTATGGTTATTTTAACAAATCCCACAACTCACAGGACTACAGCCCAGGATATTTTATTTATTAGTGTCTTTTTAAGGCTTGGCTTATAGTCAAAAGGCTTTCCTCCTATGCTGATAACTAATGAAAAGGAAGGTGTCACAGTAATATCATTAATTTGATTTAAAAAAATAAAAAAGACTTGGCACCAGGGTTTAAAAATCCAGAAAAACAAATGATATGCCATAGATATGTGCCAACCTAATTTTTTATACCTTAATACATGTGGTCTCATCATACAATATATCAAAAGTATGGTAGTCCAAGGCTAAAATTTTCTTTATAAAATTTTATAGATTTTTTACAAAATTAATGAATCTTCTCTTTCAATATTAGAGTTTCCAGCTCAGTTACATTAATACCCCAACTTAGCCTATGGCGTCTATAACTCAAAACGGGTTAAGATCCAATCACACGCAAAGAAAATGAAAACTGGAAGGTAAATATTTGACAGTCAGCTCAGACTGCATTCTCAGGAAGGCAGACTCATCTTTGCCTTGAATAATCAGAGAAAGTTTCACCAAGGGCAAGAGCTCTAAGCCAATCCTAAACTAGATACATAAAGGAGAAGTAATTTTTAAAAAATATGTAAGACTATTTTAATAGAAATTTTGTACTACCCCTTTTCTTTTTTTACCTTATTTTAACTTCCCCTACAACTTATTTTAAGTTTTTAAAATTAAAAAATATTTTTCAATTACAGTTTATATTTTAATCTTGTATCAATTTCAGATGTACAGCATAGTGGTTATATATTTATGTACTTTACAAAGTGTTCCTCGTAAAAAGTTTTTGTACAGCAAAGGGAACCATCAACAAAATGAAAAGACAACCACTGACTGGGAGAACATATTCGCCAATGATACATCTGATAAGGGGTTAATATCCAAAATTCATAAAGAACTCATATAACTCAACAGCAAAAAAACCCAACCCAATTAAAAAATGGGCAAAGGACCAAAAGAGAAACTTCTCCAAAGAGGACATACAGATGGCCAAGAGACATATTACAAGATCCTCAATGTCAGTAATCATCAGAGAAATGCAAATTAAAACCACAATGAGATATCCCCTCACACCTGTCAGAATGGCTATCATCAATAAATCAACAAACAACAAGTTTTGGTGAGGATGTGGAGAAAAGGGAGCCTCATGCATGGTTGTTGGGAATGCAGACTGGTGCAGCTACTGTGGAAAATAGTATGGGGGTTCCTCAAAGAATTAAAAATGAGCCCTGGCCGGTTTGGCTCAGCAGTTGGAGCGTCGGCCTATGGTCCAGAGAGACCTGGGTTCGGTTCCCGCTAAGGGCACGTACGTCGGTTGCAGTTTGTCCCCAGCCCTGGTTGGTCATGCGGGTGGCAGCCACTCGATGTGTCCCTTTCACGTTGATGTTTTTCTCTTCCTCTCTCTCCCTCCCACTCTATCTGAACAAAAAATGGAAAACTGTCCTTGGGTGAGGATTAAAAAAAAAAAATTGAGGCTGCCTTATGACCCAGCAATTCCAGTTCTGCATACTTATCTTTAGAAACACAAAACACTAATTAAAAAGAATATGTGTGCCCCTGTCCTATGTTCATTGCAGCATTATTTATAATACCCAAGCTAAGAAAGCAACCCAAGTGCCCATCAATAGATGAGTGGATAAAAGACGAGTGGATATATGTACAACGGAACGTTA